CGAGCGGGCCGTGACACGATGGCACTGCGGCGTGGCACCGCGCAGACCCGCTCCATACCCCTTTGCCCTCTCCTGCTCAGATCCTGCCAAAACTCGCGTTTCCCGAGCACCTTTGCTTCCTCATCGTGCCTTCTGCAGGCGTCCCCAGAGGATTCCATCTGTAGCCTGCTGCTGATCTGGCACTGACGAAACAAGATCGTTCCTCAGTGAAAAGATGCAGCAGCTGAAAAACCTTAGCAGGAGAGAAAGGTTGAGGCGGAGTGGGTCATAAGAGTTACAGCACAAGAGTTGGAATCGTACAGTGTGTTGGGCTGGAAGGGACCTGGGCCAGAAGGGACCAGTGAGCAGGGACATCCTGAACCAGACCAGGGTGCTCAGAGCCCCGTCCAGCCTGACCCTGGATGTCTCCAGCGATAGGGCCTCCACCACCTCTCTGGGCAGCCTGGGTCAGTGTCTCACCACCCTCAGAGTAAAGAGCTTCTTCCTAAAGATTTAGGTTAATCTCCCCTGCTCTAGTGCAAACCATTCCCCTTGGCCTGTTGCTACACGCGCCTGTGAACAGTCCGTCCCCAGCATTCCTGTAGCCCCCTTCAGGTACTGCAAGGCTGCTGTAATATCTCCACAGAGCCTTCTCTTCTCCAGTGAGTATTCTTGTCATGGCGATAAGTCATTTGTTACCCAGCTACTTGATTAAGTGAAAAGAATTTAAAATTACAACAAACAAAACACAACAACAATCTCCTCTCCCCTTACAATTATTAGGCATAGCGGAGCTTACCTTCTTACTCAATGAATGCAGCCATATCCTCAGTCCTCATAGTGCAGGTTAGCACTCCAGCAAAACAAACTCTGCATCCTTTCATAGTCAGGAAAGCCAGAGAAGAAAACTCTGAAGAGAACACACTGCTCCAGATGTAGGCAGGACGTTGCCTATCTATACAGCAACAGCCCTTGTAGCGTATAAACACTTGGAAGAGGAAGCTCTTCCTTTCTCTTTTCTACAGGCATAACTTTTTTTTTTTTAAAATCAGTTTACTCTTCTCTATTTTGGCTTGTCAGTATTGAACTCACCAGACAATTTCCAAATCTGCACATAAACATCTATCTTCCCACAGACATCTACTACCTACAGGCACTTTCACCACCTCCTTACTTCCCAGGCCCTGGAAGAAAGCTGTCGTAATTAGGCTGCAGCTGGTGATCATGACATTAAGCAATCTTTTCAATTAGAGATTTGATGATCCAGGTGCATCTTAGTTTAGAGGAGTTAGCAGTCACTTGTTGGTCTGAAAAAACGTGGGAATCCCTTTGCTACACTATTTAGAGCTCTTAATTAACTAAATGAGCCAATCTACTGTTGCTGATAGTGACACTGAAATCGTGCCTTTCTCCCACCTCCCTATGTCTGTGTCATGGTCACCCAAGAGGAATGGAAACCGAACAGCCCTGCTATTCTCTTGGACTTTGTCTTTTGTCAGCAAACTCTTTGTTTACCTGATATAAGGTGCCTAAGGTGAAAAGTTCAATAAGGAAAATAGAGCATGTGGTTTGCACCCATGCAGCTTGCTGGCATGTGCCAAAGGAACCAGCTGTGTAGCCTTCTTTTAAGGTTTTACCTTGTGAGGCGTGTTAGGCAAGAAAGCAGCACAGCTTTGCCAAAGCCTTAAAATTATTCTGTCATCCACTGGAGTTTACCTGTCTACTGTTTCATGGGCTTCCCTCAAAGCTCTCTTTTTTTCTCTTGGTCCACTTAGGAGATACCACAAACTTTCACAATTTCTTTGTTCCTCTCTGTTTTGAGGGGCCGGGGGAGAAGTTGCTTTGTAGTCCTAACATGGTCCTTCCTAGCATTTGTTTCCTGAAATTCAGCTAGCTGTGAAAATAAGTTGCGCACAGAAGCTGAGTTCTTTGTTTCACCCTCCAGAGAAACCTTTTGTTTGTTTGTTTTAAGCTTCAAGCTAAACCCTTTAGAGTTGAATTTGCAAAGATGCCTAAAAGGTAGCTTAGAGTTATATAAATATCTGGGCACCTGACAGGCCTGTGTTTGGGCAATTTAGAAAACAAGATACCCATCAGAATCATTAGGCACTACTTGCCTTTGGGGCCATTACCTTTGATTTTTCTGGGTTTTGGTTTCTGCATGTGTGAAGCATAGGGACAGTACGGATCTACTGCATATTACATGGATAAAAACTATCTATTTACAGCACTTTGAGATCCTCAGGTGAAGAAATGTTTTTACACCTACTTAGCATGACTGTAAGGGGTTGATAAGATAAACGGTTGTAATCTAAAGGTCTGATGATCCTGTGAGAACCATGGCATCTTTGGTTTCAGGCTGAGACCCTTTGTTCACAAGAGTCGTGAGAATATACGCTTGTGTCCCGCTCTTACATAGACACTTATGTTGTGGAACAGCTAAATGCTTGATAAGGACACTTCTTTTTTCCTCCTTCATAACACAGGTCCAGAAGCACTAAAGTACTTGATTTTGTTTTAATTGCTAAGCCACAAAGACTGCAAACATGTCTCTGGAAGACATCCACATGAGCACTCAGGATTTGCACGAGGAACAACAGTTAGATGCTGGCGGATTTGGAACAATTTCTTTGTGCTTTCACAAGAAACATGGATATGTGGTGTTAAAAAAAGTGTATACAGGACCCCAGCGCACTGAGTAAGTTACAGACCTTAGTTCTGAGTTTTTATCTTTCAGTTGGCGTAAGGAATCTAAGCCCCATGGAGATAAATCTAAATAAAGTGTAATAATTTCACATCTTTGGATTCTGGAGATACTGTATGTTGGGAAAATACTCTAAGACAATACTGGCAACTGTTTTCCCTTTTTTCCCCTCATGAGCTAACTTTTTCTAGTTTTAATTCATTGTGCCAGTGAAGTTCCTGTTTTCTGTTGCAAAGTGAGCGCTACTGTGAATTGTTAAGAATTGAGGAGACTGCATACTTGAGGAAATAGAGGAACTCTGTGGGCACATGATATTTTTCAAGCTTGCAGATCGATTTTCAATACAGTTGTCTAAATATAGATGTCCACTAGAACTAAACACACATGAGCTATCATCAGGACTCAAACCCCACATGTCTGACACTAGAAATGGAAACCTCTCTCCCTTTAGAAAAAGCAGAGTGATCCAAGCCCACCGATGTAATTCAGTGATTGAATTAGCTATTGATTTTGGTGGATGCAGGTCACACTGCAGCTCAGAGCCGTAACACTTCTAAAACTCTCCCACGAGTCATCCACTAGAGAGAGACAAAACCCCATGTTCTTCTAGTTTGGGTTATAATAAATAAACTGAGTTTTTGTTTTGCCAGTGGAAAGTGAATTAAGAGCTTCTAGTAGCTTGCAAACTGCACCGAGCGTTTAGGAGGAACTCAGTTAAAATGAACACACCGGCCCGGTTTGGTTTTGGATTTGTGGTTTTACTTTCTCACTGCAGGGACTCAGAAGTTTGTTATGCCTTAAAGTCTTGAACCAAGAGTCTTGAGCAAATTTACAGCTGAGCCTAATGCAAACAAAACAGCCACTTCCTTCTCCAGTACTAGAGGAACACAGAAGGAGAAAGTTTCCTTTTACATCACAGGACAGGAAGGCATTAGCAAGCAGCGTAGTCTCAAGATTTTCTTTCATCCTTTAGCCCAATGACTAAAACAGGAGCAATAGTAAAAAGACAGGGTTTGTCCTTCTCCAGCCCCCTTAGTGAGCTCCCATGTGCATACCCGTGACAACTGATGGGTTGTACTGAGGCCCAGGTAAAGAATTAGGCTTTGGATTAATCCTAATCCAGTCATCATTAGTAAATGCTATCACCATCCAGTATGTGGATAGATCACCTGTAATAAATCCATTTGGCATGTGAACATGAATGCCAGCCCTTTGGGAGAGAGACGTGTACAGTCTCCTGTACAAGAGGTAGTGAAGTGTGTCTTGATCCAAAGGCTCTTTCAACCCTGCCGTGTTCTGATCCCACCCAGGTTCAGGAGTTTGAACATAGACAACCAGCAGCGCACCTACAGAAAAAAACACATATCTGAAAAGTGGGCCTCAAAATCAGGTTCAACAAGGCGTTTGAGACTTAGAAAACAACCTGGCACAAACAAAGCTGTATCAGTTCAAAACCAGCTGAACGTGTGGTTCATCTTACAGAGGCTCTAGGGACGTTGATGTTTTTGGCCACCATTTTAATTATAAATTAACAGCATTTTGATCCCTGTGTTCTTTCTAGCCTGGCACCTAAGCTTTGTGTAAAATTCTCTTTTACAGCTATAACAGTTCCCTTCTGGAAGAAGGCAGGATTATGCACAGCCTGCAGCATGACCGTGTGGTAAAACTACTAGGTATTATTTTGGAAGACGGAAACTACTCACTTGTGATGGAGTATGTGGACCGGGGGAACATGATGAAAGTGCTACAGAAAGTGAGCAGTGAATTGCTTCATCCCTTGCCATTCCTTAGGGCTGACAAGATGCTTGAGAGGGACGAGATGTTACTGCCATCTCCAGAGAATGAAATCTCTATTTTACTTTCTGTATTAAAGAGCCAGTGGCAGCCCCGCCTTCTCTAGAGACGGTAGAGGACAACTGTGGCTTTCCTGCACATCACAGGGTAGCAGACCACAGTTAGAGGGTAGGAGTGCTTGTAGAGATAAGTGGAGAACTTGCTAAAGAATGGACTGCCTCTAGAATTACTTCAGTGCAAAAATGTAGATCCAAGAAGGGCCTTAGTTCTTGTACCATGGCTTGAGTAGAAGTCCTCTTGGGACTGAAAAAAAACAACTTTAAAGACTGTTTTTAATTTTTTTTAATGCTTGTATTAGCATTTTTTAATAGATGGTACTTCTTATTCTTTTAGTTCTCACTGCCTTTGTCAGTGAAAGGACGTTTTGTGCTGGAGATCACAGAAGGAATGCTTTATCTGCATGAACGAGGCTTCGTACACAAAGACCTAAAACCAGAAAACATCCTTGTGGACAGAGACTTTCACATCAAGGTATGTGTTAGAATGTAAATGGACAAAGTGGTGATTTGGGTTGAAGAACCCTGTCCAGTTGCATTGGTTAGTGTTCCTATTGGGTAGATGAAACCCTTTGTAGTTCAGCAACTCTCACTAAGAGAGTGGTAGCAGTGGATTATTGAAGTGTGGTGGCCTGTGCACTATCTGAACCTAAGATTTGCATAATCTTTCTTCAACTATGGGAAATAAAAAACAACTAATTTACTTAGGGTATTTAAAAAAATGAATAACATTGTTGAGAATTAATCAACTACAAATAATAAAACAGCCAGAAAGAAAAAAACAAAACCTTAACACACAGAAACGAAAGAGTATCTTATAGATCATGTATTTTGTCCTCTATTGTTTTACTCCTGCCTTTACCTCCTCCTTTTTATTCCTTTCCTTCTTTTGCCTATTATCTTTTCCTCTTTTGTCTCCCTCTTTTTTCCCTTAGTCATCACTTTTAAATGACAGCCAGCAGCTACAAAAACAGCAGCAGGAGACTACTTCAAAGAATGGTTTATAAGCCTGTTTCAAAGCCCTTCTATTAACTTCAGTGGGGTTTTGGATCAAGACACATAGATATAGAGCCAACTGCTGAATAAACCTGAGTAGAATTTGCAGCAGTCCTCATCAAATGTCCTGTCTCTGGTCAAGGTGAGTTGCTGAAATGATCACCCTGTTACAGTTTGAAACTACAGAATAAATTCCTGTGGAGAGAGCTCTGTCGTTTGGTATTTCTCACACATAAATTAGTGAGAAATTGTTCTACAAGGTTAATATAGTGTCAAGTCCTAGTGCAGTATGAGCAGCTTGCAGGTAAGAGGTATAAGCTATTTTTTTCCCCAAAAAATAGGAAAAAAAAAAAAAGATATCCTCTTTAAACGTAAATTGGATGGCTTTTGGGGTTTCAGCTTGCTTATACAGACATAACCTTGGCTATCATCACACTGCATGACAAACTGAGCTGGAAGGCAGGATCAAATATAGAGTTCCTTAAGAAAATCATACTTCTGATCAAGCTAAGACAGCTGTTATATGATCTGTCTGTTTGTGTCTAACATTGCTAATATTTATGAAGGGAATTAGTTATTATAGGAAACTGCAAATGTATGAAGACTTATAATTTTTCCTCCACATTAGACCTCCTCTACCTTGTCAACATGAGGTTGGATTCCTACTTCTTTAGCAGGATGTCACTTACATTTTCCTCTTCCTCTGGATACATGACCTTTAAATTTAGCCCAAAGCTTCAGAAACTCAAGAGGAACAATAAGCTAGTTAGAGGCAAGAAGAGAGAAAAGAAAAGCAAGTTCGGAGTGAGGCAAGGTGTCCCCTCAATTTTACCTGACGTGGGTTACACAATTCAGTTTGACAGCCGCCTGTGGCCAAGAGAGGCAGTGCTACTTGCTTCCACTTTTCCTCTCCTGTCGCCATCCTGTTCTCTCGCATTAGCACTGCTGCTAATCTGACCACCTTGCCCTTAATTAGGAAGATAAACCAGCAGGTCACTGTTTACTTCCTTGGCAGCGCTCCCCTTCTGTTGGGGAGAGCTTGGTTCAGCAAGTCGCTTGAGTACCTTGCACCAGGTCTTCCCAGCATCAGGTAAGTGTCAGTGCTGGGACAGGAGGAGCAGAGGGAGCACAGAACCAGAGGCTGTGGGGCAAGCAGGGAAGGGTTACTTCCTTCACCATCAGCCATTCGTCTAGTTGTAAGACTGCACCCGAAGGCTTCAGTAATCTGTCACCTTCTCAAGCGCACAGTACCCAGGTATCCCTGCTTTAACTCCTTCCAGGATACATTTTTCCATGTCGCTTTGCCATACACATCACATCCTTTTAAATCCTCTCACTTCCCTTTCCATAGGAAGATCTAAGGAAGTTGAATGGTTCCATCCAGCCCAACACATTCTATGATTCTTTTCTATGACATTGGCCCATCTCATAGATTACTTTTGGATTTGAATCTTAGCTTCTTCTCATATGGGTATTCTGTTCTGCCATGAGCACTGTGAGCAGACCTTGAACATGACTGTCAATATGAGCAAAACCACATTTTTTTGCTTCCTTACATCATGTGATTATTCCAAGTGGGGTTAAGTTATTAACAGAGGTTCAGCCTAATGTTTCCCAGTTGCCAGTGATATTTGATTTAGGCAAAAAAAGACCCCATGAAGAGCAAATAGTTTGTTTTTCTTTCTTGCAATTGCATTTTTTGCAGTTATAAGATAAGTTATTACCAGCTATTCATTATAAAATTGAGCACTGCATGAAATACTTGTCTCTTCATTACAGCACAAGCTTTGATGTGTCTCATTTTTCAGATTGCAGATCTCGGTGTTGCCTCCCTGAAGAACTGGAGTCGGCTGACCCAAGAAGAGACTGTCCGAAAAAAACAAACTAAGAACACTTGCCAGAACAATGCTGGGACTCTTTTCTATATGGCCCCAGAGCATTTACGCTCTCTTAATGAAAAACCTGTGGAGAAGTCGGATGTTTACAGCTTCGGCATAGTGATCTGGGCAATTTTTGCTGACAAAGAGCCATATGAACGTAAGATCCTTCCCAAAGCACTCTTACCACAAAATTAAGTTACAAATGTTAAGCATTTAAAGTTATAAAATCAAGATTAGCAGATTAAATCGCCTATGCCCAGGAATAGCACCTGTTAGACACCTCGTGGCCAGTAAGAGGCCTTAGTTGCATCATTCCTGACTTCTGTGCACGGACAAGAACAAATTGAAGTGCAGGCATGAGCCCAATCTGTTCACATCCACCCGGTGTGGCCATAAACCTGCACTCTGTGGCAGAAGTTAAGACAGACCTTGAGCAGGCCAGGATGGAAGCTTTGATGCACACCATTTCCTAAGGTGGGCTAGTTACCTGTGGTTTTTAACAGGAATGGTCATGTGGCCAGTTACTGCTTCTCAGCTGTGTGGTGCTAATTTCTCAGTAAGCAATAACATACTCATATAGAGCAATAAGAGCCGACTATGGAGTTCTGGAGGAACACATTTATAATTTTGAATGGATTTTTTGCTAACTAAATGGCTGCAGGTCGCTTGTGCAGCCATCTTTGTGTTCATACCCAGCGCAGAGCATAACTGAGATTGTAGAGGGCTAGATGTGTCACCCTTACTCACACTGGGCATGTCTTACATATAAAAATTAATCTGTTCATCTTAAATCTCAAATCTGTGAAAATGACAGCAGTGGATTCAGATTCACTAATGCAAGAGATTTTTAGCTGTAAATCAGTCATCTTTCTCTGAAGTGTTCTTTTATATATCCACAAACATACAGGGAGCCACTTCATTATCTTTTACCTATGGAGAGGTAGGAAAGCCCACAATCAGGATCTCATAAGAAGTTTTGTCTTTCAGATGGAATAAATGAAGCCCAGATTTGCTTTGGCATCATTAATGGAAATAGACCAGACATAAAGGAGATCACTGGTAAATGTCCAGGGGAAATTATTGCCTTAATGAGACAGTGTTGGGAGCAAGAGTCAGAGAAACGGCCAAACTTTGCGGGTAAGGCACTGATTTATAAGAAATATCAAAAGGGATTATTTTTGTTACATTTGCAACAATATTTTGTAATGCAGCAAAACAAACTTGAGAGTTTTCCTCTTAAAATATAAATACTTGCTTTTAAAAGGGAAATATCAATCCACATGCCCAGTAAGCATGCTCCCCGTAACTGGGATCTGGTCCAATACTTACAGATTTGAGAAGTACTACTTAGTGCGTGATGCTTACATGCTTTATACCTGCTGGTGATTTGTCCTCAGCATAGTATAATAAAATTTACAGCAAAGCTAATTCCAAGGGACATAGCGTGTCCTGGGTCTGACTGAGAAAATACCGTACTGAAACTAGCTTCGAAAGCTGTCCCAGTTTAGCCTTCTGTGAGCAATGCAGCAGCACTTGATGAGCTAATCATCCTGTAACATGGTCAGATCCTAAAACACTTGCAGCCAGTAAAAGCCTTGACTGAATGGTCCGGGAAGGAGACCAAGAGCATTCAGAAAAAAAGTCAAAATTCTTTTATCTCCTTTTGTCTCTTCCTTCTGCCTCAACATGTAGCGCAGAAAAAAATCCCCAGACAAACACAACAACAACAACAAAAATACCAGAAAAACCCCCTACACGTAACAGGAAATGGTGGTTTGGATTTAGGCTGGGGCACCAAGAGCTTCATATACAACCTGTACATACTTAAATACTCAGAGGGAATTTGTACAGCAGGAGGAACCCATCTACTATTTCCCTGTTTAACTGGTATAATCCACTGCTAATGGATGGAGTTTATGCTTGCACTGAGTCTTATCTTCTAATTTTCCCATATGCAAAATACTAATGTTTACCATGTTAGTAGATTATTTCAGTAATTCCATCTTTGGCAGAGACAGGATAGTTGTTTATCAAATAGCTGAATGCAATTGAATGTATCTTATTTCTTAAAATGGGGCAACCAGTCTTTCAGCCTGTCAAGTCAAAGGGTGCTGTCAGCCACAAATCATAGAGAGAGCTTCCACCCTAAAAAGCAATACAACAAAAGAAAATCTCTAGAAATCGTCCTGTTCTTGTTACTATATTAAGGCTAAATAAGCCACTTGAACAGATTCCAAATGTATGTAGAATTTTCCTGTTTCTGATTCTGTGCAAGTCTTTATTCAATCCTCATCCATCAAAATTGTTAACAGTAAAAATCACTTATATTATCCATTGAAAACCACTTTCACTTGGTTATTTTCTTTTTTTTTGTAGAAATTAGTCAACGATACAAGCCATTTTACTATCAAAATCTAGGAAAAACTATTGAAGCTGATCTGAAGGAGTTAAAAGTGAGTAACTTTCTAAACACTTTAAAGTGTCAGTTCCCTGCATCCCTTCTCCCCAACCCCAGTTATGGCCAAATTCTGCCACTTTGAGGCTGATGACACTTGACCGACTTCGTTTCCTTCCGTGATAAACTGGCTGGGCTTGTGAAGGAGCGGAGAGCAGGGCATGTCATTTACCTCAACATTGGGAAGATTTTCCACACTGTCTCCCAAAATATCCTCATGTCCAAGTTTGGCAGACAAACCCAGGCTGAAGGACAAGTCTCAGAGGGCAGCAGTTAATGGGTCCTACTTCACCTGGAGGCCAGTAACAACTGTGATCGTTGCAGAAGTCTGCTGTACTGGGACCCTCCCTGATTTACTTCCTATATCAGCGACCTCAGGGAAGTGACGGAGTGTCCTCTCACAAGGTGTGTAGGTGACGCCAAACTAGGACCAGGCAGTACAGTCGCAAGGGCAAGGCTGCGAGCTGCAGGCTGGAGGAATGGAGTGACAGAAACCATATGAAATTCAGAAAAGACAACGTGCTGCAGTTGGATTAACCCCTGGCTTCAGTGCCGGCCAGGGGCTGCCTAGCTGGGGAGCAGCGCTGCTGAGAAGGACCTCAGGGTAGGGGTGAGGAGGGCCCTGGGCACCAGCCAGAGCCTGCCTGGCAGCCAGGAAGGCAGCAGCGGCCCAGGCTGGACCAACAGCTGTGGAAATAAAAGTTTCTGGTTTACGGAACATGTGCTTTTCATGAAGCACCAGTGGCTGTCCTAAAAAGCACTAGAATTTTGCAAAATGAAACCGATAAAACAAATTTCCGAGGTGGTTTGACCACGAGAACTCATGACGTGAAGTATATGTGCCCCAAATCAGGATCATGGCCAATTATACCAGCGGCATTAGGGCTCTGCAAATATATCTCTCAAATTATAGCAGTGAATGGACTGTCTAGAAAACGGGCCATAAGTCCGTTACCTTCTCAGGAAGAAAAATACCGATTCTGATCAGCGCACAGAATGTCAATACAGCATCCAGGGCAGGTCAATGCAGTGAACTACTAGTACAGCTTTGGTAGCAACATGAGTTAGAGGGTTTGGGCATAGCCTGGTTTTTTTCCCCCCACTAGCAATTGCAGAAGCAGAGTCCTCAGCCTCCTACCTGAAAGGACCAGAGGATCACAGAATGGTTGAGGTTGGAAGGTCATCTAGAGGTCATCTGATCCAGCATTCCTCCTCAAGCAGTTCAGTTACTCAACTAAAATCTGAGGACCTAAGGTTGCCATGCGTTTTAGAATGCAATTGTTTAGTTTCAGATGGAAGTGGCTTTTTTGGGAAGAGGTAGTAGTTGTAGCCTAGCTGTTAAGTACAAGACAGACAATCCAAAACTGCTCTGCCTGGGTTAAGCTCATACTCACATAGTTAAGGATATTGTGTAGCCAACTGAAGAGTTATTGTATACTGCAGTTGCGTTGCAGTCCTTCCTCCCTTTGCTGAAAAAAAGATTTTGCCCATCTGTAGCAAAGCAATGGGTATTTTCTGTCAGGTCGTGTTCTCTGTAAGAGATCTGTACAGGATCTCATCCCACAGATTCATGGAATCTGTTCATCCAGATCATTCACTGTGAAGCTGTTTCCTATTCTTCAGGTACTCCTTTTGGTTAAGTTTCTGCCTACAACTTGATCATTTGTTCTTCCTTAACATGCAGAAAACATGTCCCGAGTCAAATGAGCTACTGAATAGGATGGAATCCCTTCAAATAGATGCTAGAGCAGAAGATACCAGTAACGGTCAAGTCGGTAAGTCACTTACTTACTAGCACATCATTATCGTGTGTATTCTGCCAGAGATAAAGTAATGTTACCATTACTGGGTTATGAAGAGACTCAATTATTCAGCGTTTCCGAGAGAAATGTGATAATGAAAAAGATAACATTTGCTTCTATGCTCCCAAGTCATACTTACTGTTTCGAATTTTCCACCACCTACAGTTTGAATCCGTTTCATTTTACATCCTTTTGCTTTCCTCTCCCATGCAAAAAATTTTGGTTAACATTAGATTTTTCAATGGTCACTCTGATAAATGTTTTTCATACTCAATCTCCCTCCTTGTCCTTTTAATCATGCTGACTGCTTTGTCTGTAGCCTTTAATTTCACAAAATTTTCCTTTTTCCTCCTCCAGCTTTTCTTAGAAATGCTCTGAATACAACCAGGATGCATAATTATAACATATTCCTTTGCTTATGATCTTGCTCTCTGTGGAGTCTGAGGAGCACTAATAGATGAATTTTCTCTCATATTTTCTACCAGATATTGGATGAGTTGAGTGTTTCATGGTTTTGTAGAGCCATCTGACTAATACATGACGATACAGTTACAGTTTTGTAGTGGTGTATTTGAAATTCTTTCACCAAAGTTTCTTAACGGCAAAGAATACAGTATCATATTTGCAGTGCTGATTTACAAGCAACAGTGTCAAATTCAGTAGGAGTAAAATCCTGCTAAGTTTGCTCACACCATTATTAAATAAATAATGTTAAAGTGTAACACGCAACTAATAAACCTTCCCCAAAACTAGGTTTGCCTTAACTGTTCTTCAGGAGAACGGATGGACTTCTAGGGCAGCCCTGCTGGTTTTTAATGAGTTTAATTACATTTCCCTAGCAGAAATAATCATGTGTGACTGCAGCTGATTACATATGCCCTTGTGTTTTAAGTATGAAGGACTTTACTGGGAATCTACACTGCAGAAAGATGGTGCCTTGACAGCCTGTCAGTCAAGTCAGGCTGGTTTTTTTTTCACCAGTCAACGGCAGTTACTCAGACACTGGTAGTGAAAGATATCCCACAGGATCTGTTCATACATTTCAAGCTTGCCCTGGAGAATGGATGCCACATAGTTTATGCTAATACAGAACTGTTAATAGCTGCCACTTCTCATGAGGCTACGTTTCTGTAACTTATTCCTCCCACTCCCTCTCTAGCAGCAGTAACTACAGTAGCAGAGCGAGTCAGACTGAAGGTGGAGTAACAGCCAGCCATCAAAAGGAACTAGTTGTGGCCTAATATGGACTGAACTCATGTGATTTGGAAAAAATACAAAAGCAACAGTTTACTGACATTATCTGAGCTAAATAGAAGCACATACATACACTTTTTTTCTTTCAATTTTACAGTGGTCTGTGAGAGTCCCTTGCTTTAGGCAATGTACACCGTTTTCTAGACATCTGTGAAGTTTTCAGAACTTTTTTAGGAAGCATCTGCCCTTAAGAACACAAGAACAATAGTAACAAGCAGATTTTTACATTCTTTTTAGCCTTAGAATGCTGCAGCACGATCCAGATCATAATCTAGTTCAAGACTGAATTAGAGCATCCCTTGATACTGAGAATTAGTTTGAAAGATGTAGATGGCACACACTATTTTATGTGGTAGGCATTACTTGTAAAAATGTATTCTTTGGGACTGTGAATAAATAGACAAAAAGGATTCATCGTGAAACACCCAGATGGGATAGTTTACATAAGCATTTGCAAACATGAATTTAAGGACAAATTATCTGTGCTGTATGAAGTAACATGTGATACAGTGGTGTTATTTTCCATCCTATTACGCTCCAGTTTTGCCGTGATTGAACTCCAGTTAATGCCAGTGGGGACACACTATTAAATCAGACCCTACAAATGCCTCTTGGAACTGTTTGTTTCAGTGGCTGAGAACTTGATGTCAGTGTAAGCAGAATATGCAGTGAATTCTGACAGCACTTGACTAAGGGAGATTTTGACACTGATAGTTCAAACAGGCTGTGCTTCCTAGATAAAAATCTGTAATGCTTCTCAGTAAAGGCAGTCTATAATGTAAAACACAGCTTACACTGGAATTAATGTTATTTTTTCACCTTTTATATATTACTGTAATATTAAAGGTAGTTTAATAGATTCTACTGTCATCACATCAAGTTACATGCTTGCATCTGATGCATTTCAAATATCTAATTTTCCTCCCTTTCAGATCAGCCTTATTCTCTACACAGCTCTCAAGGTCCCATGACTGGTCAGGTTAACGAAGCCCCGATTGCTGCCTCCACTGAGAACCAGCCCGTTGAGAGCTGCGAGACCTCATTTACATCTGCTGATAATCTAGAAAGAAAACTTCAGCACGAATACAACTACCATGTATTCGGGAGCCGGATGGATAAAGCAGTTCCACCTGCAGGATACGCGGCTGCAACGAGAGAGGCGGAAAAGAGACGAAGAGTTTCCCATGATCCATTTGCAAAGTCATCTCTTACTCGTCATCTGTATCTAACAGCCGAACAAACAGGGTCAAACACTAATCCGTATTTTTGGCCACAGCCAGCTGCAACACCACCAAACTGGGGAACTGTAGATACTTTTTATCGGCCAAGTCCTATCAGTCTTCTGAAGGGAAACACAGAGAGTCCCTATGGATTGCGTTCAGGCAATCTCTTCAGCCTAAGTAAGCCTCCTGTGCCTGAATCTGGCCCAAACCAGCCATTGCAGAGCAACGTAAACTGGTATCCAAAGAACACGGACACAGATACGGGTGAGATTCCTCCACCTATGTTTCTGAAGACACAGTTCTCTAAAAATGAAGCAGCCAAGAGTGTTTTGTAGTTTATGTAACAACAGCCGGCTTATTGTTAACAGTTGATCTGTGATATAGCGAAGGTGAATTTGTTTCATGAGGTTCTCTTTGTTTGCCTGAAATGTATTCAGGTTGCTAAAAATGCTCCAGCTCTGACTTCATCACGCTGCTTTCACTGATTTCAGGCTGCTGATTTCAAGTTAACCATTTCTAGAGTGTCAGTGCACTGGAGGAACATGAGAGCCAATGCCAAGCCTTCAGCTGCCAACCAAGTAATAGCAGACAGCAGATACCAAAACCAAGAGCTGCTACTAACCATTTCAGGGAAGCAAAGCACTTGACTCTCAAAAAAAATATAACAGTCATACCATAAATTCTGCTCCTGCAGAAACAACATTTGCAGAATTTCAGAAGATAGATGGATATTTTTAGCTTGATTTACAGCAAGGTAAGAGACTCCCGAGCTCAGGGAGGCCGCAAGGAGCTTAGGCCTGTAACTGGTTTCTCCAGAGAGCTCTGCCTGGTGCTAAAGGGGAACTTCCACTGGTATTTGCTACTGAGCTGCAGAGTAGAAAGGTGTGGAGATGAAGAAGGAAGAGAACACCGAGCACTGGCAAAATGTATTAATAAATGGTAACTGGAGAGCTCTAAGATGTAAGTTTTAGGAACTAGAGGCAGCATGAAATACAGTACCTGCTCCCACTAAATATTGGATATTTTTAGTGTGCCATTCTTTTCCAGATTGTCTCATTAGAAATTTAAGGATGCCTAGCTATTTACAGGCAGAATGCCACAAACGTGTTACTCTGATAAATTATTTATGCAGAGGCTGTCATTAGTTGTTTATGTGAGTTTATTTATAGAAACAAATCTAGGAGCTGTCATGTCAGAAGGCAGGGATTAGAACTGTCTATCACTAGTAAAGTAAAATTTTCTGTTTGAAAGAAGAAAACAGCTCTTATAGAGAGGCTGCCTCCAATAGAGTGTCAGCAGGCTAAGAAGCAGAAGAGCTGCATTGCATTGCAGCTCTTCTACTGACTCATTGGGTGCCCATAACCCAGTCACTCTTACTGCCCCATCGGGAGATGCAGAGCTCATCTGTGGGCAACCAAATCAACGACTGCTCTGGGCTGGAAGTTACCTCTGCTGGATGTTATGGCAGCCAGCAGAAAATGCAGTGATGCCCCATAGCTTTGCTAAAGCCAGTCTCAATACATGCTAATACAGACGACGATCAGTCTTGGCAGTAAGCAGTAGCAGTATGCTCAGGACTTCGGTATCTTCCAGTTTGAATACCTGACACGAGGCAGCTTGGCCCGTAACTATGCCGTGACCTTGCACTGCTGTCTGCTGGCAAGGTGTTCATGCTCCCATGTGGAAACCCACTGCCCACACTGGGATCCGAGGATGGTTAAGACTATTAGTCAGTGAGCAAAGCCACGATAAAATCATTGCTTTAACTAGAGTTGCTCAGAGATACAGTCCTGTTAAATATAAAGAGATGAGAAGCTTTTTAATTAAGAGCATGAACTACATGCTCTTACTGTTACAAGTATGGCAGTCATTTTAAGTGTATTTGCATTTTTTATTCACATAATGCTTTTGGCATTTCTTTGTTTAGGTAACACAGATTCCATTCCTTTTGCAAGGGGAACTTTTACATATCAACCTAATACATCCAGACTAAGCACAGGTAAGTCCTGCAGCCTTCATCTGCCCTGGCGGCCAGCAGGCCGTGCACGGCATCTTGGTCAGTACAGCAAAACACTTCAAGATCTTGAAATAGTTTATGTTATTGCCTAATACTTCTCACCATAGCTGAAGTTACTAGTACCAGCTTGTCAGCCAGTTCTCCTTTCTCCAGCAGAACCTGTACACACCATTAAATGTGCATTGATGGATCAAGGACAACATCTCTTTTTAAATTAAAGTGTTTTGAAAAACCCAAAGGCTTTATAAGATCTGTACACCTAAACCAGTCACTCGCTTAGATTAAACGTCAAGTTGCTGTAACTCTACTCCTGAACCACACATGCATTTGGGTTACCTGTCCGTTCTTGGCCTGGATTTTTAATACAAATCTCTAGCTGTAGGCTGCATGCTGATCAGCCTTCCTAGAGGCATAGGTCTCTACAATTCAACTGTCTTAAACCCCTGAAAATCTGTCCTGTCCATTCAGCTTTCAAGTTTTGTTGCTTAGGGCACCCTGAACTCTTCTAATTAAGCCTTTCAAGGCTTGTCCTATTTGTAAGCGGGTTTACACTTACAAAGAAAACTTGAAACAACAGGTGTCAGTCTTGACTGTACGCCCTTCAGAGCCTTTAGATGATGACCCACATCTGACAAGGAAGCAAAGTGCAGAGGCTCAGGAAAGGAGATTTGTAAGCACAGTAACTTTTCCTGTTAATATTGACAAAGCGTTTGTGCATGTTTTCATATCTTGTGCCAGATCCATTTTGTTACCAGATCAAAAAATAGCAAACATAGATTTCTTCATTGTTTAGCTAAAAATATGAACGTATTCCCTGTGTTGGTTCTTCTACCTCATAAAAAAGGAAAGAATACAGGAATCATAATATTTTGAGACATTATAAAATGTATTCCTTTTGTAAAGCTTCTAGAAACTAATCATGTATACAGAGAAGTATTTCTGACTAGCAGTTTCAGGTTAACAGTTATTAAATGCATTCAGATTTTCACACGTGACCATAGTTTTCCACTGTAACCAGGACATTTGTGCATCTAGTCATCTTTAGGGTGATTAAATATAAAGCTTAGTCTGTCATTTGAAGTATCTGTACTTCAGTTTTAGACCCAGTTTGCACAGTTACAATGTTAAACAGTTCAGAAAACATTGTCAAGAGAATAGGAAACTGATGTCACCAAACATGACTAGAATAGTCACTTAGTTTCATGCAAGCAAAAGACACTGGATTAGATGTTTAATCATACACAAGTAAGCCACAGATACAAGTACCCAGAGGTACACACAATGTAGCTGTGCAATCAGTGAATGTATCTGTTGACTTTTATTGCCGAGGCCTTAAAATAAAGGACGGTTTTGGTGAGGTGTCTCAGAAAACATTCTAGTCTTGCCTTAGAATCAAAAGTAAACAACAGGGGGGAAAAAAAATAAATTAAAAGAGAAATGTCGAAAGAAACATTGACCAAGTAGTGCACTGTGATTCACTGTGAAAATAGATACAACTGAAGAATATACCCTTAGATAGCAGGGATGAAATACATCGTGAAACAGAGAGATGCCATCGAGACGGCAGAATATAGCATGGAGTATAGAAAGCTTATGAGCAACTAAAAATGATTTTCTGTAGTCTCACCGAACTATGAAATCGTAATAGTAAACTTATATCCATGACAAGTAAAGCTGAGAGGCAGAAGTAAGGCTTCAAAATCTAAACAAAAAGCTCTGTCAAGTAACGACTGACCTCCTGAAGCTGTTAGCCAACAAAAAACAAGGCTGCTACTACACATTCCCAAAGCGCATTATTTACAGTCTAGTAACTACCAGCACGTAAGGCTTGGCTATGGTACTTTGCTTTTGAATAGAATATGATGATCTTTCACTGAGGTACATTTATGTCATGCTGCATAACAAAAAACACGCTCACAGTTGCCAGCAAACAGCCATTTCTACATTAAATGCAATAAAAGCATTTTTATTAGCAAGGCTTTCTTCCTCCTTACCTCTTCCTTACGTTGCTTCTTGATGGTTTGAACCATATGAAGTTGTTTATAAAATTGTACTGAATTCTCTTATACAGAGGATTCAGTCAACGTGAACATAACTTCCAGTTCTGGAATTCAAATTGGATCCTACAATGACATGACGATTGAAAACCACAATCAACACACCAGCACTTCTCCTGCTTCAACAAAGGAAACATACAAGCATTATGAAGCAACGGGTATATTTGGTAAGAGAAACATCTCCCTAGTTTTGATGTATTCTTCCCATATATTTACCTGAGAGTCATTTGGTTTGGAATGCGTGAAAGCAGTGTTCTCCCTCTGATACCCAAGGGATAACTGTTTGTGTCCTTTCCTACTACGTACATAAGAGCATATAAAACAATTAAGGGTTTGTGCTCATGCTGTTCTGTAATACCTCTGTAGCACCTCGTTTGTCTTGGTAGTTTCATGACCTCTTATGAGACCCCAGGTACAAGTGCAGATGTACATGCTTCAAGAACAAGAGGAATAAGAGCATTCAAATTGGCAGAAGCGAGATTAGGATTGGTGGTCCTCACCTGATTTCTAGTTTAAATCATAGAATAGAGTTGGAGGGGACCCATGAGTCCAGCGGCTAGCACCACACAGGAAAGCCTAAAACCTGAACAATGCTCTTGGATATCTGGTTTACATGCTTCTTGAACACTGGCAGGCTCTGGTCCACGACCACTTCATTTGACTAGAAATGGGAAGATTTTAAAATTTTAAATTATTTTCATTGGTCAATACTAGATTAAACTATCCCTCTGCATTCCTAAGCAAACAAATTAGTAGTGTCCCAGAATATAAAACATACCATAGAGATAGCGGTGAGCTGCTCAAGAACTCAAGGAATGGATTTTTCAATTCTGCAGATGTTTAAGAGACAAACTGTGATAGTTTCAGATCAAGTCCAGCAACTCAAGTGTTAATCACGTGTTCTTACTGGGAGTCTCTTTCCAGGCATCATTAGGTAACTGCCTCCATGAAACCCACTTCTGATTGCATCCCTAGAATTCTGTCGTCAGATATTACCAATAAATAGCTGGGGCAGGACAGGTGAGATAGCAAAAGGAGCAGAAGAAATGTTAAGCAATGCCGTTTTCTTGTACTCTTTTTTTCTTTTTGCAGACAGTACTAGTGTCCTGACTGAGAAACATGTGAATCTAGTGAGAGAAAATTTGGCCAAACAGTGGAAGCCCTGTGCTCGTAAACTGGGCTTCGGTGATCCCGAGATTGATGAAATTGATCACGACTATGAACGAGATGGACTAAAAGAAAAAGTTTACCAAATGCTGCTGAAGTGGAGAAATAGGGCAGGCTCCAAAGGCGCTACAGTTGGAAAGCTTGCCAAAGCCCTCTTCAGCTGCCAAAGACTAGATCTCCTTACTAGTTTGATGCAAATCGAAGAGGAGTAAGTTGACTCAGAACTGAGTGAAAATGAGGGCATTTTGTCCTGAAGGCCTGCCAGCAACAAGTAAGAATTCTGAACAGACTTTCTGCAGCTACAGTCTTTACACAACATGCTATTTTCACCCCCCCCCCTCAGACAATCCATGTATTATTTGGTGCACCGAATGAACCGTGATCATTTAATGGGCGTACATTAAATGCTTCATTTTCTCTTTATTAAAGAAAGCAAGCCTGGACCTTGTGTTCCAAAACAACAAGAACAAAGATGTAGAGCACAAGCACGAAGTGTCTCAGAACAAGATGTAGGCATAGGGCAGCCCTAGATCTTTAAAGCAGGATGCAGAAGATGAAGGTCATTTTAGCTTTGATGCTGTCAAGTCCAATTCTAGACTAGTGCTCATAGTTCAGGTGACATTGTGGATAGTGTAGAAAACAGCCACCGAACTGAAAGCTAGAGACAATCTCTTTCAGTACAATGCTTAGAGAACTCAATCACAGAGAAGATTCAGCTTCCTGGGCAGGAAATATGAACTATTAAACTCTTAGCATATTGTGGGAAACCACATAAGAGGACTCAGTGCCTGGAAACTGCAGGCAGGCACACCAAAATTAGAATATATATTTAATAAAAAGGATTATTAACTACTGGAATAAACTACCTAGGGAGTCTCTGGATCCTCTTGATATCTTTTAATTAGGACTATCCATCTTGTTTCTAAAGATGGATATCTTAAAGACAGCTCAAAAGGAAAACTGAAGCTTTCAGTACAAGATTAACTAGGTGAAATGTAAAAGATAATGGTGTACAAGAGGTCTAAAGAAAAGAGTTAGTGCTGTCCCCAGCCTAAAAATTCACAGAAATGTGAAGTACAGCAGAGAGGTGAGATAACATTAACTTACTGAGTTGCTCGCTTCATTTACCAACCCCTACCCCACAAGAAAAAGAATTAAAAAAAAAAATCAAGGATGGAATTGATTTTGGAAAAGCAACCTGACAAATCCAAAATGCAGGAAAATACTGGAAGAAAGAAAGAAATGTATTATGGTGCAGATCAGATACCATTCATGGCAAAAGAAGGAAGAGAAAGGACAGGTCTGATTTCCTATCAAACTGGCAAGCTATCAGCCTCGAGGACAGAGGCAGCAGTAACACGGCAGCCTTACAGACACTTGTCATAAGACGGATGAGGTCCAGGCCAGGGACAAAAAGGCCGTGGGTTGCAGGAGCAGACCTCCTTCTCATGGTCTTGCCTTGAAGAACTTACACAGCAGGTGAACTCATCCACTTATGCACGTTATGATTTTCCCTTTTTAAAAGGGTAAGAGCTCAGGAACTTTAGATCATTTTATTGCTAGTTGAGTTCTGCTCACAAAAAGCACTAGTTTAAAATTTTACAAGAGTGTCCACTGATAGGACAAGGGGAAATGGGTTTAAGTTGAAGGAGAATAGATTTAGATTGGACCTTAGGAAGAAATTCTTCAGTACGAGGGTGGCAAGACTTTGGAATAAATTGCCCAGAGATGTTGTGGCTGCCCCCTCCCTGGAGGTGTTCAAGGCCAAGTTGGACGGAGCCTTGAGTAGCCTGATCTAGTTGAGAGGTGTCCCTGCCCACGACAGGGAGGTTGGACTAGATGATCTCTAAGGTCCCTTCCAGCCTAGGCCATTCTATGATTCTGTGGTATGAAAGAGTTCCCTAGCTAGAATTCTCACATTCCTTGGAGTCACTTGCTTTTGTTTTCTTCCTTACTCTAGGCAACAAGTCTAGGCGATTTTTCTGCAGAGGCAAAGCTAGAACACTGTTTAACAGCACATTATCAAACAGCATTCAAGTACAGCCTCCAGCCCATAGCTATAGTGATCATTACACAGCAGCCAGTCTGTGCTGAAATTCTTAAATGCAGGGAAGATGAGAGTCCGTGTAGTTCAGAGCAATTTATTTGGTTAATTTTGTTACCGTGTCCCTGTTAACAGCATACAAGCAGCTAAGAATTTTGGGGAATTGTTACTGCTTCCGAAATAGTTGGTAAGTAATACCAATTAATAATTCTGAATGAAAATCTTAGAGCGGACATCACTGCAAGTATTTGATATGTGAACTCTGAACTGAGGTGGCAACATGGAGCTCCTATTCCTCAGAGGCCAGTTTCTGAGGAGAGGCAATACTCAAGAACTTGGCCTCTAACTGATCAAGCAGCTTTAAATAAACCGTATCACGTTTCTCTGATGGATTTTTCTTCATTATGCTACAATGAATTAAAACCTCCTTTCAGTTTGGAGGCACATGGAAAATAGAGTAAGAATCTCTAAGTCTCTGAAGCGCACCCAGTCTGGTACATGGTGAGACAGAGCTGCAGGGAAACAAAGTAAGACCGGTCATCCAGTACAAGTGGGACCATATCAGAGCTAAGTAACACCTGGGAGGGCTTTCTTCCCTGGATCCTAGTGCCCTCTAGGCATTTGTTCCACCCCTGCTTCAGCCTAGTCTTTTCAGAAAGTGCTCCTTTCAACATGCCAAGTTTCCCTTGTAGCACAGCAATGAGCATCAGGGCTCAGCCAGCCAATGCTCATTTGTTTCTCACCACAGAACAACAGCTAGAGATAGTGCGGCTCCCACACTCTGTCCTTAACACAGCCTCCAGGGAGAAGGGAAGGGGGAAGTTAGGATCAGAACAGGGCCTAGAAGCAGTCTTTGTGCTGGAGGAAGTATTATCTGCAAGTGAAACAAAGGATACCAGGCTCCAGACTTAGGCTGAGTTTGTGTCTCCTCTCCAACTAAGTAGGTCACTTCCTTTCTCTTTAGCAGTTTCCTCATCTCTTTGGTACAGACACTAACTTCTGCCAGAACTCAGATGTGATCAAATAAGCCTTAAAGCTTACAGAGCTCAGAGAGATGCTTGATGAGAGCTGTTTGAGACAAAAATCCACGCTAATCACCTTAACAAGCCAGTAATACTGCTTGGAGCCTGAATGATGGGTTGCAATTTCTGTATGCTCCACACACATTTCAAGTCAAGCACCAGAAGGGACGTGTGGGTCACTGAGTTCGCTAACAGGGAATCATACAACCCCTTCCAGAAACATATCAAGAAACATTTTCTGAGTGTTACTCTTGCCCTCTCTGAAGGAGAAGCTATTTCTGCTTTTGAACCAAAGTATTTGGAGCTATTTCAGGTCTCTCCTACAAAAATACACTCTCTGCTACTCTCCACACTTGGAACCTCAAAAGTCATTCCACATCCGCTCAGTCCTTCTTGTCTGGAAGATCAGTAATACCAAATCATAGAAACAACAGCATTTCCGCATCTTTGTTCTGAATTTCACAATTCAACATCACCCAAATCTTACCTCTTTGTGGAGCTGGAGCAATGAGGTTTAGTCCCAAGGCAAAATCGTCAGCTCTAAAACCAACACCCAAGAGGCAAGAGAGCCCGAGCATCAAAACAAACATGAAAAGAGCAGAGTATTTCACAGAAGCAGCTAAAACAAAAGGAGGAAAAATGATCAGTCAACACGTGGACTCAAGAAGCAAGCCTGCAGCAAGAAACAAAGTCCACAACAGTACCTAAATCAGTCGGGACCCCCACCAGACACAGATGTAGCTGGAGCAGGGACTAGTGGTCCTGTGAGGCTTCTGGGCTGATGAGCAGAGGGTGTGGTGAAAGACTCCAGCTGAGGCTGCTCATGGCCGCTGAAACCTATTAGCACCCCAATGGCCCTGACAAATGAGCTCCTCCTTCAAAGTTCCAGAGTTAAAGCTCCACTAATGGTAATGGTTCTGGTGTCTTCTATGGGATCACTGCTCCTTATACCAGAATCCCATGTGTGGGTGAAATTAATGCCTATGAAGACCTCGAATTAGTCTTTCTGCCTGATGTTCCAGCATGTCTCAAGGGACCCACTATGTCAATAACTAAGTCTTCTCAAGACTTTCTACAACCTGAGGATATACAAAAAATGCAGGTTTTATTTTCTGTCAGTCCAGGAGTCAGAAGATTGTCATTGCCACTTAATAGGCATACTGAGAGATCTCACTGTTCTGCAGTTCTGCCCCTCACAAGAAGTTTGGGAAAATACTTGTGGGCTGGGACATGGCATTTGAATCACCTTTTTCACTGCTGTTCAGTTCCATAAGGAACAAATCCATGCAGCACTGCCAGTGCAGGTCAGCTGCAGAGACTGTGAGACTCCTCTACGAGGGTGGCGAAACACTGGCACAGGTTGCACAGAGGTGGTGGAGGCTCCATCCCTGGGGATGTTCAAGGTCAGGCTGTACGGGGCTCTGAGCACCCTGATCTGGTTAAAGATGTTAAATAGTGTAGTAACCAGGAGCAGGGAGGTGATCATGCCCCTCTGCTCAGCTTTGGTGAAGCCTCACCTTGAGTGCTGTTTGCAGTTTTGAGCCCTCACTACAAGAGGGACATTGAGGTGCTGGAGAGGGTACAGAGGTGGCTGCCAAGCTGGTAAAGGGCTTAGAACACAAGTCGTTATGAGGAAAGGCTGAGGGATCTGGGGCTCTTTGGCCTAGAGAAGAGGAGATTGAGGGGGGGACCTCATCACTCTCTACAACTACCTGAAGGGAGGTTGTAGAGACGCAGGGGCTGGTCTGTTCTCCCTAGTGGAGAGTGATAGGATGAGGGGAAATGGATTTAAATTGTGCCAAGGGAGGTTCAGGTTAGATATTAGGAAGAATTTCTTTACTGAAAGGGTTGTCAGCCATTGGAACAGGCTGCCCAGGGAGGTGGTTGAGTCACCATCCCTGGAAGTGTTTAAGAGACCACTAGATGCTGCGTTGGGGGACATCGCTTAGTGGGTTGATAGGGTGGGACAAAGGCTGGACTCGATGATCTTCAAGGTCTCTTCCAGCTGAAACTATTCTATGATTCTATGTCCCTGCTCACTGCAGGGGGATGGGCTAGATGACCTTTAAAGGTCCCTCACAACCCAACCCATTCTACAATGATTCTCTGAAATGAGCAATATCTCCCCTGAGCGCATGAGAACTGA